TAACAGTGTTTTTGTCAAGTTTATTAATCGCTGGGGAAATTTCCACACCATGGCATCTATCCTTCTGTTCTTGAGAGTGTGAGAACATGAAGACAGAGATGTTTTAATAGTGTCTCTGATTTAAAATTGAGTACAACAATGTCATTAAGTTTCTGCAACCCAGTTCCAGTTGTTAACTTTTCATATGTTCAATTGTTTTTGTAGAAATATTTAGATTTTGATGCTGTTTCATTACTGTGCTGTTATATTTGTGAAATATTCATGGATATGATTAGATCTCACCCAGCCCTGATCAAACCTCATTTCCCTTCACATTCTGCTCTCAAGTGTCCATTTATTTATTCGAACTTTCTGTTGCTTTTCCTTTTTCCACTTTTCATTCTTCAGTTATGAGGATTATGATCCGGAGATTAAGTAAGCAGATCCGTCTTTCCTTCCCTCCAGCTCATATTTCTCTCTCTCCACTCTGCTTCATAACAGCAAATAAACCCACTTCACTCGCTTCCTGTTTTCACGTTTTCCTTCACGGCTCAATATGAAGTGCTGCCAATCACTCACACAACCCGAGTGAGTGTGTGTGTGTTGCGTGTGTGTGTGTGTGTGTGTGTGTTTGTCTCATTATCTGCTCATCATCTTCTCGGTGCCCTTAAAGTTTCCTGATGTGTGTCTCAAACCGTTTGACTTCAAATGGAGGCATCGAGAATCAGGACAAGGTAATTTTGACATTCAGTTCCATTTGAAGATGTGATGGGAGAAAATACTTCCTTCATAACGCTTTTGAGTGTTTATTAAGTGAATGATTCTTCAAATCGTGAGTCTTGTTGAGGTTTTCTGAGCAATCAGACTGAAGATTTTAACATTTTGGACAGTAAAATGGGGGGGGGGGGGGGTGAATATGGTGGGGGGGGGAGGATAATATAAACATATATTTTAAAAGAGATCTTAGTCATGCATATAAACCAAAATATCATTAAAAAAAACATGATAAATGCCTCAGCAACCAGACTTTTAAACATCAAACGAATTGGTGAATGATTCACTGACTTACTCATCAAGACAGTCACTTGTTTCATATTTAGAAGTATCATTTCATATTTATATGCTGAAAATGTTCTCTAACAGCGTTATTTATGCAATTGTAGTTGTAGTGTAAATGCATTCATGCCATCTCTGAGCTGCATCAATTTATTTAAGATTATTTGTTTTTAAAATAATCCTTGATGTATAAAAGTATTAATTTCTGTCAAAAATAAATAAATAATGACCGCAAACATTTTAACGGTGCTTTTAGTAACATACAAAAAAAAAAAAAAGCATTTAGCATTGCAACACTAAAACTTACACAGAACAACACTCTAGTATAGACTTTAGGTAAAATGCATATTTAATTTTTTCAAATCAAACCCAGGCTGAGTGATTTTTACAGCACATTCTCTACATTTATAGTTTTTTTTCCAACTATAATTGTTCCTCAAAGATGCATTTGCAATGTTGTGCCAACTGAATGATCGACAGCTGAGTTAAAATCACTTCCTTCACAGCCTTTTAAATCCAGTTTCGCGCTGATGATTTATTCAGAAAATGTATAAATAGAGTGTGTTTATTAGTCGAAATATTTGTTCTGAAATACAGTCTCGCTGAGGCTTATTCTTTCATTTTTCGAAATTATAGTTAATGATAATGTTATGAAGTGTGCGTGTCCCATTAGTGGTATATTGGATGTAATCCATATGTAAATGTGTGTAATTTTGAAGTTAAATTGAGCTGGATAGAGTCAGTAGGGTGGATCTGTAGCCCCGCGGGTGAAAACAACACAACACGCGTCTCGTTATAAACTCATCCAACTCTCGCCGAATGAAAGAAAGAGATGCGGGATGGTATTTACAGGGGAGAGTTTGCTTAAAAATGACAATTCGGTCATGTTTACTCTGCTCAAGTCGTTCCAAACTTTTCTTTTCTGAAACACAGGATAAATTTAGCAGGAAGACTGAGCTGCTCTTTTCCGATCAACTAAAGACTAGTCAAACTCCAGAAGGGACAAAATAAGACCCATTAAAGCAGTGTGTAGGATTTGTGCGCTGTATTTCAAGTCTTCTGAAGTCATCTGATAACTTTGTAGCTTTTGTTCGAATGAAAATCTTGTTAACACTTTACTTAAAGCCTTTATGTATAATGCATTATAAAGGTGTTCATAATGTATGTTGTAATGCATCATATATTTTCATAAATAATTGTAAGGAAGGTTAAAATGCATTATAATACTTGAAGATTTGTTTGTCAGTAATGCATTATATTTTCTATATAGATAAGTAATAAAATGGTTTATAACTCTAATATTATTGGTGCATTACAAGGTTATTATAGTTATCTAAAAACTAAAACTTAAACTAAAATTAAAACCTAATTGTGTGAAAAAATTAAAATGAATTGTGTGTGTGTGTGTGTGTGTGTGTGTGTGTGTGTGTGTGTATTAAAATGAATTGTGTGTGTGTGTGTGTGTGTGTGTGTGTGTGTGTGTGTGTGTGTGTGTGTATATATATATATATATATATATATATAATTTTATGGACAAGGCAACATTTCTCACTTTAAATTGATGTATTAAACTGAAATAAAAACATTTTTGAAAAATAATTATTATGCATTATATATAAAGGCTTTATGTAAATTGTTCCCAAAATTGTTTTTTTTATTGGTGCAAATGGTATAAGTCTGTCATTGGAGCGGTTGCTTTTTACGTTTAGCCTTAAAAGCTTCATATTAGTCTTAAAAATTACATTATTATTACCAAATGCATATATGTGAGTAGGTTTTGAAAGGATCCTGAAGCAGTGGCAGCTTTTGTACCTTTTTTCCTGAGAGCAAATTACTTATGCTGCTTTTGTTCTTTTTGGAGTTCACTTTAACTGAAGTCATATTTAAGTTAGGTGGATAGCTGGGTAGAAATTTACCAATTTAACCACTGATCTCGCACTTATGTCTTACATTGCGAGTAATGAGTTCTGACTGTATTTTCAGGGCTAATTCACTGTGTGTGTGTGTGTGTGTGTGTGTGTGTGTGTGTGTGTGTGTGTGTGTGTGTGTGTGTTTCAGATCGTGGGTGATAGGAGCGATCGCGCTGCTCTGTCTGCTGGGCCTGACCTGGGCGTTTGGCCTGATGTACGTTAACGAGAGCACGGTGATCATGGCGTACCTCTTCACCATCTTTAACTCGCTGCAGGGCATGTTCATCTTCATATTTCACTGCGTCCTGCAGAAGAAGGTTGGGAAAAACACATTCATATACACACATGAAACAAATATATGAATAAGAATATATGGCTATGGTTACTTTACAAAGCAATAACATAAAAACAAAACATGTCAAGTAAACTCATACAGCTATTTTGTATAAAAAATGATTATTTAGCATTTTTAGCACATTATAAACATTTCCTGATCTTGTCCTTTACATTCAACAGCAACAAACACATCACAGATCACACGACCTACTGTACACACAAGCTCAGCTTATCTGTGTCGTTATTGCTAACTAAAACCATTAAAAATTGTTTGCGGTGCATTAAATATTGCTGAAATAAAATATAACTATTACATTAAAAAAGAAAAGTAAACAATTAAACATAAATTAGAAATGTTGCCTTGGCAACTAACTTATAGAAAACAAGTTTAAGCATTAAAATTACAATTAAAAATTAAATAAAAAATAAACTAAAGCTAAATAGGAATATTAAAAAACTAATAAAAATGACAGAAAAACATAAAGTTGCTAAATTAAAATTAAAATGAATACCTGAAATAAAATTAAAATCGGTGTTATTGTTAAGTAAAATTATTAAAATAGTGTTCAATCATATCAATCGGCATCCTTCTGTCTCGAGAGACAATGGAGTATCTGCGCCCGGGTCAGTCTGTTATGGAATTGCAGTGCCTGCTGTGGCTAAACAGTCCAATACGAGAGTGGCAGAGTCTGTTGCAGTTACTACAGGTGAAGCCTGAGACTGCTTCTGTGGGCACTGACTCTGCTCTCTGCCGTCTGCGCTGCCTACTGGTCCTCTCTCTTTCCCTCGCTCAGCTTTGTGCTGGTCCTTATGGCGAACCGCCAGCCGACACGGTCTGCGGCAGCAACTTCCAAGTCTGCAGGATTCAGGCTTCCGGCTTTCAGGTCACGCTTGCAGACATCTTTGTACCGGAGCACTGGTCTGCCTGTTGGTCTGGTGTCGGAGGCGAGCTCGCCATACATGATGTCCTTAGGAATCCGGCCATCCTGCATTCAGCAGACATGGCCGAGCCAGCGTAGGCGTCTTTGTGAAAGGAGTGCGTGCATGCTGAATGTTTTTGCCTGGGCCAGCACTTCAGTGTTTGGGACACGGTCCTGCCAGGTGATTCCAAGGATCCTTCTCAGGCAGCGCAGATGGAAAGAGTTAAGTCTGCGTTCTTGCCAGGTGTACATAGTCCACGTCTCGCTGCCGTAGGGAAGAGTGCCGAGGACATTGGCCTGGAAAACTTTCATCTTGGTGTTGGTGGTGAGCATGCTATTGTTCCACACTCTCTTGGTCAGGCGGGCCATCGCTATTGATGCCTTGCCGATTCTGGTGTTCAGCTCGTTGTCCAAAGAGAGGTTGCTGGAGATGGTGGAGCCAAGATATGTAAAGTCCTCCACTACCTCGAGGGTGTGCTCACCGATGGAGATGCAGGGAGTGCTGCTGACATCCTGGCCCATGACGTTTGTTTTCTTTAGGCTGATGGTCAGCCCAAACTCATCAGAAGTGCGAGCGAAGCTGCTGATGAGACGCTGTAGTGCTTCCTCGGTATGGGCAGTCAGGGCGGCGTCATCAGCAAACAGCATCTCCCTAATCAGAACCCTGCGCACCTTGGTCTTTGCGGGCAGACGTGCAAAAGGTTGAAAAGGTTGCCATCGCTCCTAATACGAATAAAGACACCATCTTCTGACTGACTGAAGGCGTGGCGCAGCAGCAGGGAGAAGAAGATGCCGAAGAATGTCGGGGCGAGTACATAACCTTGCTTCACACCACTCTTCGGATCGGGAAAGGTTCTGAAGATAAGCCATCGTACTTATGACACTACACTTATGTAGTGTTCATTAATTTAAATAAAGCTGAAAAATATAAATATTATAGAAAAAAAAAAGCTTAAATGGAAATTGCAAATGTTGCCTTGGCACCTAACTGATAAAAAAAGAAGTAGTCGTACTTAGTAGGTAAGTACTAAAATTACTACTTAAAATAAATTAAATGAAAGATAAATAGGAATATTAAAAAAATAAAAATACATAAAAATTAAAGTGAAAATAAAACTAATTCAAAATAATACAAACTATAATAATATATTAATAATATTAAAATAAAACAGCAGCCCGCTCAAAGTGGTTTAATGGCTTATAATTACAGGCCTGTTCACTACATTTTGTCATCTTGACATGAGGCCAAGTCAGTTTTCAGCTGATGGAGACATTACAAGAGTTGATGAAACTTTACTGAACTAATTTCTAATGCTTCATCATTAAATAAACACTTCCATGAATTACACAACCTTTACACAGTACATCAGTGGTGACAGTCCTGAAACACAATGCCAGTGAAAAGGCAATAAATGACAGCGGGAGAGCGTGGACTCGTCTGTGGGTTCGGTGAAGAGCTCGTCTTCGCGCGGCCCGGGACGATATTCCTCTGCGTCGCAGGTACAAACACAGCAGCACAAACACGAGAGATTTTGTGAGTGTCCATGTGTGTGTATTCTCTCTCACTCACTCTCTCTCTCTCTCTCTTTGTCTCTTTCTCTTGTTTTCTTTCTTCTTTCATCACAAGGTTCATCACCCGCCTTGTATGACAAACTCCTCACAGTTACAGTATGAACAAGTAACTATCAGCTCTGTGACTTTCACACCACACACCTGAGCAGCTCAGTGCATCGCTCTCATTCACTTTCATTGTGTTAGAAGCTGTACTTCAGGAAGAGTCAGGGAGGGGTTTTTCATAAATGTAAATTTTGTATACTTATGGTCAAAAGTTTGAAGTAATTGATATATTTGAATGTTTTTAAGTCTCTTCTGCTCACCAAAACTGCATTTATTTGATTAAAATTTACAGTGAAAACAGAAATATTGTGACATATTATTTCAAATTAAAAGAATGGTTTTCTATTTAATTTTTTATTTTTTTTTAAGTGTAATTTATTTCTGTGATCAAATTTCAGCTTTCAGCATCATTACTCCAGTCTTCAGTGTCACATGATCTTCAGAAATCATGTAATTAATAATTAATAATAAATAATCATTCCATTATTCCAAACTCTTGACCCATATTAATATTAATAATATTTTATTTTTTTATTTTTTTAATGTAAAATGATATGCAGTATGCAATGATCTTTTCTAACAGAAGTAATTTATATCATTGTCACATTACCTCCTTATTTTACATTTTTCATTCAGAATATGGTTTCAAATGATCATAAAACTAGATATTTTGCATTTTTAATCCAGTGTGGTGTTTTAATCCATTTGGAAGTGTGTTAAAATTGCAAGTAAAGATGGTTTAAGTTAAAGTTGTAGCAGATATTGTTTCCAGGTCGAGTTGGAAATATAAGGTCGAGCACTTTGCATTATGGGAAACATTATTAATTTTTTTATATATATGCTTTTTACAATACATTCTGTTCAAAACCAAAAATGCACTACTGTCTACTGCACATTTTGACAATACGTTTATATAATAAAAAAAAGGTTTTGCAGTATTTTACAGGAAAGGCAAGAAAAGATTAATTTGTTTGAGCTTTTTACAGTTCAATCTGTTCCAAAACTCTATTTCATGTATATTTACAGCAGAAATATATAGAAATATTCGCATACTACATGCAGTATATATTTTATCCTGCAAAAAAAAGTACTAGTCTTGTAGTTTTCTACAGGCTTTTTAGAATGAATTCAATCGCAACATTTAGAATTCATACTGAAGCGAGATGCAGGCAGGATTTCCATCGCATGTTGTCCTTGTCTCAAACAAATCTAAGGCTTTACATATCTGTGCTTTAATATCTCATTTCCATGGTAACGGTTTGTCTGGTTACCTGATCTCCATGGAGACGAGGTTTCCAATTTGACCTTTGGCCTTGCAGGAGTCGTGTGCAAACGTGTCACGAGAATCTGACATGCAGCAGAATCACGCACGTCTGACCCGTGATCGTGTGTGTGTGTGTAAATGTCAGAGAGATGAGGAACAGACACACGATTCTTATACTGACAAACAAACGCTGCTACAGTGTGTTGGGAGCGTTTTAGATAGGATATAGCAAAAAATGAGCATTTTGTCATGCCGTTCCAAACCTGTAATGTTTAAGAGTTTGAAAGGCTGTTTGGTTTAATTTCTGACTGATTAGTGTGTAGCAGATGAAGTGATCTGTCTCTGATCATGTGAGGTATGTGTGTGTGAAACGCTCTTGTTGTTCACAGAGCCGAATCCGCCGCATGTGGAATGACACAGTGAGGAAGCAGTCCGAGTCTTCATTCATGGCTGGAGACATTAACAGTTCAGCGACACTCAACAGAGGTACACACACAAACACACACACACACACACACACACACACACACACACACA